GGGAGGGCTGCTCTGGCCCTGTGCTGTGAGCTGCAGTGTTATGTCTGACTCGGAGCAAAACTGCGTGCCTTACTCAGGTACGAGTCAACTACACAAATCACTTTTCACGTTGGTGCTGAATTTGCCCACTTGCAGTCTGTCCTTATCCTTCCCCAAGTACCGAAGTAGGACAGAAATGTCTGTGGTCGCAGGGTGGTTTTGAACAACGAGGTGTGGTGGGAGCTGCGTGTGAATGTAGGGGAGGTGTATGTGTCCTGCAGAAGGATGACAAGGCTGTTCCTCACCTGAAGGACCCACGGCTTTGTCACTACTGTGTCATACATCCACTCTCAAATATCTAGTTACTCATGTGCTTGTGCTGAAATGATGTTGCCTGGCTGGTTTGTTGGCTTGCTTGAGGAGCCTGCCCTGCTCGGCTGCATCAGCACCGGGTGAGTCGGGTGAGGACTCCTTGCACGGGAGCGCTCGGCAGGCACGAGTGCCGTCGTTTCTGTATGAGACAGTGCCATGCATGCGCCAGAAATAGGGCTGGGGCTGGGCTCACCACGCAGGCGTGAATGTGATGTGGTCCATCCTCACGTGATGGAGGGCTTTTTCTGTGGCAGAGCCTTCCCCCTCACCTGCTGCCGTTCCCATAGGAAAGGAGAAACGTGCGTTAGGAAAGGAGTAGAGCGCGTTTCTGAGCAGATGGCTTTGATTGGAAGGGGGATGAATTTTATTTTTATTTTTTTCCCTGTCCTCAGCTTATCTTAAGAAAGTGGTGAGGATGAAGCCTTATGTCTGCTGATCTCCTCTCAGACAGCACGTGAAAGCTAAACCGAAGGCATTGCCCTGGCGCAGGGATGGTGCTGTGACCAGCCCCAATGCAGTGAGCCCTGATGCCTTGTTTCGACCCCGTCCCATAGCTGGGGCTTAGTGCCTTGATTCGAGCAGCGTCCTTAGGTGCTCTGTTACCCCAAGGCTATCCAAGGACCCAAGAAAACATTAGGAAAAAGGCAACTTAAGCGCTCAATTGCAATAGCTACTGACAGGTTTTATGGTTCAGATAAAAAGTGGATCTTTCCCAAGAGTTATTCCCCAAAGCAGAAATGTAAGGTATTCAGCTTTCAGACAGCGTTGGTGAGCCTGCTGCAGCTCAGTGTCTGTGCAAGGAGCAAGGTTGTGCCCGTTCCCTGGCCGAGAGGGCAGGGAGCTGCAGCGTTAATGAAGAGCGGCTGAAGCTATTGCTCAGTCCTAGGAGGTGGTCAGGACCCTCCCAGCCAGTGCTGTTTGCCCGGGGACCTCACCACTGCTGTTTAATTACCAGGTTGTTTGAGTGACCCACATCTTCGGATGTCTTTTCCCTCTGGTTGTTTTTGTGTAGCTGTCTAAATTTGGAGGTCCCTAAGCTGTCCCTTTCAAGTCTTTCTTTACAGCAATTACGCTCTCGGTATATCCTGTGACCCCTCAGTCACCAGCGTGCATCAAGAAACGTGACCTGTAAAACTGCTCTGCCTTGCTTTGTAGCAGTCTTCAAGTTAGTTACTTGCCAGCCAGGAGATCATTTGTACCACAACCAGTGTATGCAGGAGTGGAGGAAAGGGGACGCCTTTTCTCGTCTTCCTTGCTGCCACGGAGGATGTGCAAGGAGGTGCTTCTCGATGCTGCTGCTGCCTGGCTGTCAGGTTTCCAAGACTGATCGGAGAGGTGGTGTCTTGCTTCTCATCCACAGCCTCTGTGTTCGCTGCTGTGTTTGGCTACAGGTCCTGCCGCACTGCTGCAGTGTTTGCCATCGCTGGTTCACTTTTCCCAAGCCTTAACAAAGCCTGCGGCCAAGCAGTTCTGCTTTAAACTTCTGCAGCTTCTGTAAGGGCAGGACCTCTCTCAATACCTGACAGCATCTAACCTTTCCTGCTTGATATAAGAAACAGTTGCTGGGTGTACCAGTGTGCGGTAAGACCGTGGGGGGAGCAGCACTGGCATGGTGGCACCTTCTGGGCGCAGACACAAGAGCTCAACAGATGTTGAGCACAGGCTTGAGAACGCAGCTGAGGCTCATCCCGGCATTGCTGCAGTGTGCCAGGGCTGTCTTTGGCATCAGTGGCAAGGGAAACATTGATCCTGGTGCTGCTTTGCTGCTGCCTCCTCCTCCTCCTCGCCTGGCCACGTGCCGCCGGGTGGGTTCCTGCTGTCTGCCAGAGCAGCGTTGTCCCTGTCGGTGGTTGACACGAGCTGTCCGGCTGGGCTGGCCTGCTGCTTCAGATGCTGCACGCCAGTGGAAACAGACTTCTTTGCTTTCTGGCAGGACTGCACTAATTGAAATAATGTTTTATTTTGAGGTTTTAGCGCTCTGATGTGAGGGAGATTGAGGCAAAATAATTGCAGCCTTGCCATCATGTCCCTGTAGTGGCTGCGGAATTGATCTGTGGGGAGTGCTTCAGCTGGATCTTGCTGGTTGTGCTGCTGGAAATCTCTTTCAATGGCTTGCGGAGTGGAGAGTGGTTGTTGCAGCAATTCCCTGTGTCTGCCAGCACTTGCATCAGTGTCCTTCAGGGATGTTTGCTTCCCTGTCATCGGGGAAGCAAAACTGATCTCATCAGAGCAAGCTTTGGCTGGGAAACAACTCCAGCATCTCTTACTTCCCCGTTATTTACTACTTATCCTTTCTGGGAAAAATATTTATGAACATCGAACCTCCATCTCTGCTTGATGTGGGACTAACTAGCTGTAGCTTAAACTTTAAATGAAACAAACCCCAAAACACAGCAAACAAACAGTAAAACCCCATCAAAATGAAAAACAAACCCCAAACTGAGCGCCTAGCAGGTTTCAATGTCTAGCTCTCTCTCAAGAGAGGATTAAGGATGCACAGCACCACAGGCTGTTGTGCATGCGTAATTGTTCAGGTGGGTTGTGGTTTTATTGTTTTTTTTATAAAGCTCTGGAGTTATTCTGTAAAGTTCTCAATTACACAGAGCAGTTCTCGCCACCTCTAATCCCCTGTATAAAAACTTTCCTTTTACATGGCTGTTAGTGTGTTTCTGAGCCCTGAGTCCACAAAGGTGATGTGAATTATCAATCTGAAATGGCTGGAATGTTCTTCTAATATCTGGGATTAAAAGTTTCTCTGTATTTTTTTTATTTTTAAAAATCGAGTAGGTTTTGCGCTGTCCAGTTCCCGCGATGTTGTTGTCCACTTCTCTGGGTGTGTGTGGCTTTTTTGATTGATCGTTTTGGTGTATATAAACTGCATAGGAAAGCCCATGGAAAATGTCTCCTCCTCCTCCACCCCGTCGTCTTCAGCTTTTGTTTCCAGCTGTTTCCCGGCATGTTTTCCTCCGGCAGCCTCCATCTCTTGGAAGACTAGAGCATCTTTCACTTGCACTTGCAAATAGCTTAGCTACAGGCTTAGGTTTTGGAGCTGAGGTTTTATAGCCTTGCTTTTTTTCTCGTTTTCTTTCACTTTACCCTTCACCTTCCTCCTGCAGCCCAGGCTCAGCGTGAAACAAGCAGTGACACAGAAGCATTATGTCATACCGGTTTCTATTTGATTTCAGGCAGAGAAGAAGGAAGGAAGCTCTGATGTGAAAATCTTCAGCTCTGCTTTCCGAAATGCTTTGCTGTGAGTTTGGACTCACCTGAAAGGGAAATTTTCCTGGGGTGTAGGGGATCGTGACTCAGGGCTAGGCCCCGCCATCAAAGAGGTCGGTTTGTTTCTGCAAAAGTTGTAGTAGTAGTAAGACTGCAACATCAGCTCAGAGGTTGTTTGTTCCTATAGGGCTTCTGTTTGCTGAGAGCATTTTTACGTAGCCAGTTTTTTAGATTTTCTTCCTCTTTTCTGCCTCCTCTTTGTCTCATTTCCATCACCCCACTGGGAAACTGGACAATATTATATCATTTTAAAACTTTTGACACCTGTTGTCCTATAAATATAACCCCTGAAGCGATCAGTGTCCTGTATGTGCTGTGCAGTGCTGCAGCCATTTCAATATCAGGCACTGAATTTGGACAAATTCAAGGCTCTAGCCTTCTTTCTGGGCATTTGGGAGTACAGCATGCGTCTGGAGATGGCTGGGTCGTCGCTGGCCACCTCTGTGTTGCTGTATTGCATCGTGATCCTTTAAATGGTAAAACCCACAGATGCCAGCTGGCATTGAGCAGCGGGGTGTGGGTGGCAGGAGGGTCTGTGGGTGGGTGTCCCACCGATCGGAGCCTGCCACCGTGCGCATCCTGAGCCCCCGCAGGACCCCCAGGTGGACGTGCAGCCCTGTGCCTGAGCCCGGCGTGTACCGACAGCAGGCTTCCCACACACGGCAGCGTGCGTGGCAGCCCGGTGCTGATGCCACCACGCTCTGATGCTGTAGAGCAACACTTCCCATGTATTAACCTGCACAGTGTTCAGAAGCGTAAATGTGGAGGGTTAACCTCTGCAAGAGCAGGATGTTGAAGGTATTTTGGACAAATTCTTGGATTTTTTTTTAATTTATTTTTTGTCTTCAAGTGTATCTTGGTGTTTGTATGGTAATACAACAACAATGAAGATTGTTATGGTGCTCTCTGATTTTCCTCATAGGCTGTCTTTGTTTCTGCATGCAGCTGTACAGTTTTTATGGAGATCTGAACTGCAAAGCATGAAGAAACTCTTTTGTTTGTTGTCGCTTCTGTGCATAAAATCATTCTTGATTTTCTGCTAAAGCACAAATCCACTTAACATGCCCAGTTCTGGACTGACTTTTGACTGTTTCTGTAGCTTCCTGGGTGTCCACTGAAATTGTTCAAGCTCTAGGAACAGATTTGCTTCTGGCTTCAAATGCCGTTTTCAGATGCAGTTGTCATCCCTGAAAGAGCCCAGAACAGAGTTGTTCTGTATGAGGACTGTGTAGCTGCCGAAGTGCTGCTCGGCTGTGGAGCAGGCAGCGGACAAGTGAAGTCTTCTGCAAATCTGGGTTTCCTAGAGGTCTCCAAATAAGCGTTTTGCTTTTGGCTGGTTACAAAACCAAACAAGCAGTTATTTGTCCGAGATGCCCACCTACGAGCCCTCAGCTGTAGATGAAGAAGCCTGGGAGCAAACTGATGGCAGCAGCATTTTTGTGAAAGGCTTCCAGTCTAAACTGAAAGCACTCTCAGTTGAAGTGAGGTGGGTATAAGTGGAAGGTGGAGTATGTTTTTCGAGAGAGAAATCTACAAATTTGAGTAACTTCAAATAATTGAAAGGTGTTTGTTCTCTCTCTGTTTCTACATGTGTTTCTGTACGAGGTGCTTGGCAGCTTGTTGGATGTATCGCACTGAGCTGCCAAATGCAGCGGCAGCTCCCTTGAGTTGGCCGGAGCTCGTGTGATGTGCTGAGCTTCGCTCGGGGACGTGGGCTGCTGGCTGTGCGCGTGGGGCTGAACTCCTTGGCTCAAAACAGCTCCAACTCACGTGCTGCACAATTAAATGATCAGAAGCTCCTCGTTACCTCCCATTGAGTTGTGCAGCAACAGTGGAATTTGTATTTGCCGTGTGCGCAGGAGATGACGAAGGCTTGAGCAGATGGCTTGCATCCACCCCTGTCCCCCAGCCAGCACTGCGGGAGCGACACTGGTCTCCTGTGTGCCGGGTGAGAACCGAGACCGCTTGTTCCTGTGCCCAAGGCGTCTGCTCACCTACAACGCAGGACAGGAGCGCAGTGGTAAAAGCACATGCTTTCTGACCCTTGGCGCCAGCTTTGGCGGCAGGAGCTGGGGGTGTTCTGCAGTGATGCTGTTCGGGAGCTTTTATCACCCTGCTTGAAACAAAGCAGCAATACTGCCGAGGTAAATGCTATCACCAAAAGACACAGACCTGGGATGAATCCACCTTTGTTTTAAAACGTATGTTTTGTTGACCTCCTATTGTGGATGGAGATAATTTGTTGTTTGCCTATCTGAAGAGTAGGGGATTGAATGCATGACTCAAACTGATGAGCTCATGTGTTGTTTGGAAGTGATTTTTTCTGTGGCTTACAGCTGAGCTGACTAGCTAAATTGCTGCTGTTAATGTGCTGTTGTACATGCTTTTTAAGGTCAGATGACTTCATCAGTTGCTGTTTGAATAGCTTGAATTCACTTTTTTCATCAGCTAGTGTGTATGTACTCATACCACATTCTTTCTGAGCAATTTAGTGTCACAGATGATGGAGGAAATACTTACTCCTTAAAGTTAATAGTAGGAGCTGCAGTGGAAGGCACTGCGCAAATAGTGTCTTCTACGTACGGATGCTACTGCCTGTTTTTTAAGTTACTTGACTCAGAGGATCTTGATACCTGTGTCTTTGGTGCACGTTACTTGGTTGCTGGCCCCACAGCCACCTTCTGCCTAGGAGTGGATTTGGGTGTTGGACTAATACATTCAGTTGTTGCACGCTGCAGTGCAAAACCTGTTTGCTTTGAACGTGCATTCAACAGCTGGCAACTCCTGGCCTGCTGTGATTTCCATACCCATCTGTCTCATTTGACTGGAAGTGAAACGACAAGTCTTTCTGTATCGACTTTTGCCCATACCCGAACAATTCTGATATGAGTCTTCAGCCCTGCCTGCCCTTTTACTCACAGGCGGGTGAAGGCACAAAAAAAAACCAAAAAAAAACTAAGACCCAAAACCCCCCCAAATAAGGCATTTAGAACTACTCTCATAATGCATCCTAGCTTTGTATTCTCCTTCTTGGAGCAACTTGGCTGCTGGACTCAGTAGCGGTAGGTTGACGGTTGATTGAACTCTATAACTCTATAAACCCTTCTTAAACGAAAAGGTGCAAGATGTGGGATGCGATGTGAGGGATTGTGTGAACGTGGTGATGGGGGCTTTGTATGTCTGTGGGCAGGGGTGTAAAAAGTGCCGTCGTCTTGTGGAATACAGTTGTTCTGCAGGAAAATGAGTCCCAGCAGGCCAGTGCCCCTCTGGTTTGAGCAAAGAATCGGTGGAGAAGCCGGTGAGTTTGCACGGCGCTGGCTGCATGGCAGGAATGTGCTGTGAAGCTGTTCTGGAGTAGCTCTGTCCCTCTTGGCCTGACCTCATGCATAGCTCCTGGTGCACCCCAAAGCTGGGCACTGGAGAGGGCTGCTGCCGGGAACGCTGCGTGTGGGTAACAGCATATGGGTGCGGGAGTTACTTCACCCTGAAATAACCGAACGGGGAGGGTCTGGGTTCAGGTGGCGTTGAGAGCT